AATCACAACAATTCTAATGCAAACTAACATATTATAATTACTATAATAGTAAGTTTGTAACAAATTATTTGTATTAACTTATGATAGAAATCTAATACAAACCAACTAATTTTAATCACATATTAATAGTTACTAAAATAGTGAGTAATTCTATAATATAATTATTTACAGTAACTCACAATAGGAATCATGACAATTTTAATGCAAACTAATTCAAGCTTAACTACATATTATGTTTATTAGAATAATAAATTCTACAACAGAAATTTGGTTACAAAATTCATAGATAAAAAATATAATAATTCTATTGTAGACTTATCTTAATCAGAATAGTAGTAAGTTCTGTAAAAATTCTTTTAGTAATTTATATTAATTTTAATGCAACTTAATTCACCTTAACCAATAGTGTAGTCACCAGAATAGTAAGTAAGTTCTGTAATTCATGATAAAATTGTAACAATTTCAATGCAAACTAACTCACCTTAATACCGAAATAGAAAGTAGCTTCTGTAATAAAATTATTTACAGTAGATTGTATAATAATTCCAATACAAATTAACCATATATTGAGTTCACTGGAATAGCAAGTTCTGTAAAGAATTATTTACAATAACTCAATAAAAAGTAATCATAGTAATTTTGTACAATCTAACTCAAGCTTAACTAAAATTAAGGTTACTAGAATAGCGAATAAATTCTGTAATGGAATTTTATCTACACGATAAAAGCCATAATAATTCTAATATAAACTTATTTAATCAGAGTAGCAAGCAAGTTTTGTAATCTAATTTTTTCAATGACTTATGAATAAATCATATTAATCTTAATGCAAAGTAACACACCCTAAGCACTTTTCATAGTTACAAGAATAGTAAGTAAGGTTTGCAACAAAATTATTTACAGTAATTATGACAATCCCAATGCAACACATATATTATAATTATTAGAATAGCAAGTAAGTTCTATAAAGAAATTTTTTTTACTGTAATTCACAATAAAAAATAATAGTAATTTTAATTTAATACTGTAGTCACCAGAATAGTAAGTTAAATACTGTACAAAATTATTGACAGCAATTCACAATAGAAAATTATAATAATTTTTGATGCAAACTAACTTACCTTAACCACATATTGTGATTACTAAATAGCAAGTAAGTTCTGTAACAGAATTTTTCAGATAAAAATCATATTAATCCTAATGCAAACTATCTTAACTTATTAACATACTATGATCACTGAAACAGCAAGTTTTAAATAACAATGGAAATCATTCTGATGCAAATTATTTCAATCTTAACCACATATAGTAGTTCTGCATTGCACTATGATAAATAAAACAATAAATAAATAATATAATATAGAATATATCATAATGAGAGACAATATAAAATAATTAATTACAAGTGGAGTGAATTAAACAAAATATAAGGTAAGGAGTTAGCTACTTAATGTGATAAAAAAAATTAAATAAAATTTATACATAACCGAGACTGTATTCAAAAAAGCTGAACTAATAAAACTATAAAATATGTAAAGACAAAATAAACACCAAACAATTTCTTATTATTAATACAAAACTCTACTGTTTTGCTATAAATTATAACATGAAATCAATAAAAGTTTGAGAGTTGCACTAAAATTACACTATTATTAATATATAAAAGGTTAATATAGAAATATAATATGATATAGCATGCACTATTCTAACTCCTTTAAGTAACTCAAGCGCCTAGTAAACTATAAAGTTTTTTTCTGATATCTTATGATCTATAGAGTTCTCAATACCCAGAAAATCTTATTTACTTAAAAAAAGGTCATGTGGCCTTATTGAAAACTTTTTACTATAAAAAAAAAGCTGTGCGGCCGGTTCACTGATTACTATCTTATAGTATAAAAACCAAGTATATAATTTTGCGTGGCCTTATAAACTGATATTTGTAGTAAATATAATTAAAATAATTATTATCTATACTACATATCATGTTAAAGCAAAACTGACAATAACATAATCAAATATACTACAATCATACAACTCGATATTAAATAAATACATCTATATAATCTTATTAAAAGCAAATGCCTAAATATAAACACAATTGTATGTTATATAATTTTATACTCTAAATACTTTCTTTCAGATAGACAAACTAGTAACTGATATAATACATAAAAAATAATTCAAACTTCTTAACAATTTGACATTATATTTGCAATTTAATCATTTTTTACTAATCGATCCAATTATATTAAAAAACTCTCTTAGCATTATACTTATAACCTTGTTTATGTAATTAAAATTGTGTTAGTTTATATTGAACTTGTCGTAAAAAATTGTTATAGGACTTACTTGTTACTCTAGTGATTTGAGTTAGTTTGTATTAGAATTCTTATAATTTCTATAATAAGTTACTATGAAAAATTGGTACAGAACTTACCCGTTATTTTAGTAACCATAAATATGGTTAAGATTAAGTTTGCATACGAATTACTGTAAAATTTTGTTATAGAACTTATTTGTTATTCTGGTAATCATAGTATTTGGCTGAATTATTTTGCATTGAGATATTGTAATTTTCGATCATAAGTGATGTAAAAATTTTGTTAAAGAACTTACTTGTTATTTCAGTAGCGTTTATACATGATTCTATCATGAGTTACTATAAAAAAGTTCTATTACAGAAATTTATTATTCTAGTGTACTGTATACAATATGTAGTTCGGGCTAAGTAGTTTTCGTTAGCATTTTCGTAATTTCTATAATGAGCAATTTTAAAAAATTTTGTTACAAAAAAAAACTTACTCACGATTAAGTAACCGCATGGTTAAAGTTGAGTTGGTTTTTATTAGATTAATGTAATTTCTATCGTGAGTAATTATAAAAAATTCTGTTACAGAACTTATTTTGTAATACAATAAGTTATTAAGATGAGTTATTTAATTTGTTTCAGAATTTGAGATGGGTTTTATACATGTGCACGTTTTCTCAATCGCATTAATGCGCATTCATGCACATAATTCGGAATCATGCGCACTTTATCCTATTGCAACCATCGGTTGGGAGAACAATTGCGGATGTTAATCCAATTTAGCTCCGATGGTTAACTTGATTCGGGATTTTTAACGCTTATACAAGGGGTATAATTGTCACGGTCGTATGTGACTACTAATGGTAGAACTCAAATCGCCGTGATTATCATGTCTTCTCCTAGTATACCGTTCCGACGCTTTTGAGAGAAAGTATTTTCATTTTTTCCTCATCCATAACTTAGTTATATTATGTGTTGTTACGTCCTTTTATCAGCAAAAAGGTTCCTTATGTACTTCACATTCAACCCTAAATTAATTGCATCATAATTAATCATACGATACTTATCTATTACATCATTAATTAATCATCCGATATTCATCTTTCTTAATCTCATATTTCTTATGCGCCTTGATCGATTCTTGATGGATCATGGTTACACGCATTAAACTATTAACTAGTAACCCGAATCATGCTGTATGATGATACTATAGGTCCTGTTGCATAATTCCAGGGCAAATTTTCGCCGTAGAACCGCTTGTGACCATAATGTCAAGAAGCACTTAAGTGGGGTCGGGTTATCACTTAACAGATCAAACTTAATTATCGGGAGGGTTTATTATGTTCAATAAGAAATGCAGGACAACAATAATAAATAAAATAATACAATAATAAAAGAATAAACTAAACTAATAAATTAATACATAAACACAAATACAAAAAAAGGGGAATCCTATTCTTAATTTAAACTATAATTAAGACATCGTAGTCCCTATATTGAGACACACCGTCCTCAGGAAAATTTACTTAGGCGGAAACTGAGGCCTTAAATACCTTTTACTTTACTAAGAGCTACTGCATTAAGATAGCCACCAAATATTTCCACAATTGTTGTTCCAAAAATTCCTCACAATGGTTGTGCCAAATATTTACTACAATGCTTACTCTCTATCTACTGTAGGAGTAATTAATCACTGGGATTGACATCTCTAAGCCTTCATCTGCCGGATTGATCCGTGTCTCTAAGCTTTCACCTGCCACCTAAGAGCCTCACAATATTCTTGTGGCTTTTGGTTATTGGGCTTTTAGTACCACCAAACCACGTCAAGGCCACGGGTTTAAACTTTAACCCGTGGCACTATCTAAATTTTATATAATAAAATTAAAGTATATATATGTCCAATGTTTTGAACCGAATTTATTTATCAGGGTATAATTAAAGTTTATCGGTTCAAATCACAGTTGAATTAGACCCTGAGAAATAAATTTGCTGATAATTTTTAAATTTGTCCTTAATTTTAGGATTGGAGGCATGCCCTATCATGTGATCTATAGCTAACATATTATTGGCTAATTTATGTTGATTTTAATGCTTGACCAATCAAAATACAAATGACTTCTCATAGTGTATGCTTTATATCTAGAAAGGGCATACCCGGGGCATAGAGAGGCACGTACTTCGCAAAGGCATGCCCCAAAAATTTGCTATGTCTCCAACCCTACTTAATGTCTAATTCTAATAGAAAATAACTCTTATAATATAATATATGCTATAAACAAATGAACTTTATACCTTTTTGCAAGTTATATTAGTTATGTTTTTTGATACAATAATCTTGTAAAAATTTATCTTTTTTTATTTTTTTAAAAAAGAATTTATTATTTTTTTTTTGATACAATAATCTTGTAAAAAATTGGTTTTTTTTTTTATTTTAAAAAAAAGAATTTATTTTTTCATTAAATAATACCTAACGTAAAAAATTTAAGCTAAAAATTTTATATACAAATTAATAAAAACTTAAAAAAAAATCTATAAAAATATAATAAATACACAACCATAGATGCGTTTATAATAAATGATTTATATAATAAGCTAACTAATATTGATTCACACACTTGAAGTAATCTATTAGAATCTCCAGGTTTTTCGGATCTTTCAGATCTTGGATTTTTTGGATCTCCGGATTTTCTGGTTAATTGCGAAATTTCCAAATGATTCCACCTAAAAGTGTAGCTGCTATAGATACCACATACGGTAACACATAAACTGATGAGCCAGGTCCAGGTGGGCAAAATGATGTGCCGACAATTGAAATTACTAATATAAAATAAATTACAATAACCCATTTTGGTATTTTAAAAATTCTTTTTTCTTCTAAACCCTCTCCAGAAGGTGTAATTGAAGCATTATTATTTTTTTCTTCTGTACCCTCCCCAGAAGGGACGTCAGTTGATGTTATTGAAGTATTTTTTTTTAAAATCTAATTAAAATTAAATCTTTTTTTTTTAATAAATTGAATCAAATATAGTAAATAAAGAATGAACAGTTTAATTTAAACTTACAAATAAACAAATTGCAGAAGCTCCATGAAATAGCATTGCAATTATCTGCGATGTCTCAGCAAAAAAATCAAAAAGATCCATTGCTGGATCGAAAAAGAAGAGAAGGAACACTGAACAATAAATAAACTGCGCAAATAATGCGTTAAATGGTGTACCGTACTTCTTATGGAAGTCGTCAAATTTATGAGAATATTTAGGTATGAACTCTGTTGCGGCAGCATATTTTATAATTCGTGCATAACTATTAAAGGTATTATAAATTAATTCAGTGCAATAATATTCCATGATTAAGTATGATAATTCAGTAATCTTACACGAAAACCATTGCACCCACACATCCGAAGGCGGAAATTGCGATAATCGCTGACATAAACTTTACTCCATTTTCGTTATTATCAAAGAGTTTGTAACCAAAGCGTAGAGCAATATTGCTATTAAAAGCAGTCGCCTGATCAAAACTGCTCTCATCAATGAAAAAATCATGTCCAAGTGATGTTGTGAAAGCAACATTGATGAGAAAATCTGGACAATAAAAAGTTATAGTTACAGTAAGTTAGAATATCGGAATGAATTATAATAAACCGAATACTTACAAAGTATAAAGGGGACACCAACACTAATAAGGTTTGAATATATTAATTTTTTATCTTTTGGCTCCTGCAATTCTTCAATTGTATCTATCAATGAAAATTTATTTGCGTAGGTTAAAATCAAAAAAAATCATATTTATGATAATATCATTGTAACGAATTATCTTACAGTTTATATTATTCCATCCTTGATTATAAGAATATTTTATATATAATTATCAGTAAATTTATTACTAATTGTTAAGACAATAAATTTTTATAAACACACCTTCATATACAAATAGTACCTATGTTTAAATTCAATTTTAAATAAATTCAGATAATACTAATTTTTCGTAACTTCCTCGACAATCATATCCCTGATATTAAAGCTAGCACAATTTAGAAATATAATTTGCCGACTTGATGTTTGACATTTGGAAATGATTGTCGAGGAAATGATATACCAGTGCTGTTGTTTTTTTTCAATGGGATTTATAACCTTATAAGCGAAATTTTCTAGATCAAAAGTTCCGGTGGTGCAATTGAATTGCGGTATTTATTGCTCACTTCAACGACAGTCATTTCATTGAAAGTTCATTTAGAAGGCACATCCATTGGTCTTTCATTAACCTTCTATTAACAACACTGATATATGCATTGAAAAAGCTATATTGATATGATATATATTAATTTACCTTTAAGATTCCACTGCTATAGGCTCCAACATATGTTTTTGGAGATTTGTAAATCTCATTCCAATTTGTAGGATTTGGTCCTGTTAGTTTTATTAATCCAACTATCGAAATAAGAAATATAGCAATAATCTTAATGAAGACTAATACTTGATTTATGATAACAGACAGTCTATTAGAATACATATTATATGCCGTAATAATTGCCAAAATAAGAATTGACAATAAACGTAGGGCACTACAGATTCGATAAAGTTAGAATAAGAAACATGATAATAACTTAATACAAGTTTTCTTACATGTAATCCTTGTCAAAATATTCTTTAGGATCAGGATTTATATTAAAAAGATAGAGCAGATGTTGGGCGCATGCGTAAGTATCAGCTATTATGGCTGCGGGCAAAATTATACTTTTATAAAAAGTAGGTTATTATTTGCACGTGCATAAGATCTTAGAAACATTTGAAACATTTATAGACTTTACACACATTATTGCAACGAAACTAAATATATGTCCTAGATTTTTTTTACTTGGGAACGCATTTTCAATGTATCTTTGTTCACCTATTCCCTTAGGTAACGACCTTATGCCCAACTATAAAAAAGAAAATTAAAAGGTAACCAATTTTCATCAATGATCGTCTTATTAGGTAGACTTTCTTATTAATTTTTATATACCTCAATATATATTAAAGTACCAATTAAGCTAATAATGCCTCCCAAAATCCAAAACACTAAAATAATAGCTGGTGATCCAACTAAAATCCATATATTATCAGGATTAAAAATCCCTATTTGAAATAGTTATAATAAACTTAATTTATCATTAAAGATTTTTTATAAACATAAATTTCAATACAAACCAGCACCGATGATGTGATTAATGTTGTATCCCGCTCCTCCTATTATCCCTAAAAAGTTCTCTCTTTTTTTATCTATATCTCTACGCGGTAAACCACCAATGTTTTCGTCTTCCATAAAATTTTGGGTTATCTCGTTAGTGTTAGTATTAAGATCAACGGTTATTTCGTTATCATCCATGTTAAATGTAGTATTCAAATGGTAAGTATTTTATTTAGTACAAAGAGAGCTTCAGCGAACTATTGCAATTATTTAGAATGTATTTATGAAAATAATTTGATACAATTTTGCACAAATTTAGAAAGACTTATCACTTAATGTTCTTTATGAACACAGGTGTAATTCAAATAACATATATTAACCACAGAAAATATTCTTTGTTTGCTTGTGTTACTTCTTTTTTCGTGCATCCATAATACAATTTAGAAACTACATTAATAATCGATTTAGAGGAGGACAGTGTTTTGTGTAATACAGTTACACATGATTCATAAATGAATTAAATAAGTCTATTTTAATAGAACGTTTTTTAAATGTCACTGAAAATACCTAAACAAGCATAGCGGGCTTTAAATCTGATTGGATGATCGCCCGGAATGTTTCACAATATGGTTTACATATTAGCGTAACGT